GAGTACCAGTAGGTGTAACAATGCAGGGTGCTCTGGCGCTGGCAGACCCTTTTGGGGTAACGTGCTCCAGATTGCTTTGTGGCAGTGACGTGAGGTGGCAGCTGGAACAGGAGGGCCTGTCTGGCCCACCCCTCACACTGCTCCCCTGGACAGATGCAACCAGCACCACGCTCTGCCCTCCCCTGGAACAAGGCCTCAGGGGTGCTGGTGGCTGACCATGGTCTCTGCCCCCAGCCCCCGCTCCAGAAGGACAGGTCCGGGCAGGGCAGGCTGGCTGTGGGACCCCCCCACAGCAGGGGCAGAGCTAGCCTGGAGCCCCAGGTCCCTCGGCTCCTCCAGGGTTCTCCCCTGCACCCAGTGCCCCTCCTGCCTCCCTTCTGATTCAGGGACCGTGTACACATGGAGTGGGGGGCATCAGTCATCGGGTGCTGTGCACCCTCGGCTCCTCTTCCCCTGTTGGGTCCTGACCTCTCCCAAACACCCCTCAGAGCCACCCTAGAGGTACAGGGAGGGCCTGGGGCCTCAGGCTCATGCTTGCTGCCTCCCACCATACCCCATCACTGCTGCCCTGCAGGCAGGCGAGCAGGCCCTTGGGTACCTAACCATGCCCAGTGCAGCTTTGAGAAATAACATGGGGCGAGTCATAGCCCTGGACGTGCCTTAGAATGCAGCCTGTAATTCTGGGGACAGCCCCGCAGAAGGAGGAGCCCGGGCCGTCTTCCCCAAACACACCCCACCCCAGCCCGCGAGAGACCAGTGGCTGGAGACTGAGACCCCTGAGCCAGGCCAGAGATCCGATTGGTCCGGCCAGTGTAGCAAAGCCTCCAGAAAACCCCAGACAGGGCGTCCGAGAGCTTCTGGGTTGATGACCCAGGGCAGAGGTGCAGATGGGATGCGGGAGGGTGACAGGCCAGAGAGCCTCTCCCCCATCTGGCTGTTCCGAGTGACATCCTTTGATTCAGTGCACAGCATGTTTGCCCAGGCTCCATGAGTCGCTCTAGCAAACGGTCAAACCCGAGGTGGGCTGTGGGACCCTTGGATCCAAGGACCTGCGGCCAGAAGCACAGGGGACTGTGGAGTCTGGGTGGAGGGGCAGTCTTGTGGGACTGAGCCCTTCCCTGAGGGGTCTGACGCCATCTCCAGGAGGAGAGTGAGAGGAATCCCTGGGTGGTGCAGCGGTTTAGCGCCTGCCTTTGGCCCAGGGCGCAATCCTGGAGACCAGGGATTGAGTCCCACGTCGGGCTCCCAGTGCATGGAGTCTGCTTCTCCCTGTGCCTATGTCTCTGCCTCTCTCTCTCTCTCTGTGTGACTATCATAAAAAAAAAAAAAAATGAGTGAGAGAGCTGAGTTAGATTTGGGGGACACTCAGTTGGTGTCAGACAATTGCTTGATGATGTCAGTGGGAAAAAATGTCAGAATTGGGTGCAGAATTGTATACTGACACCTCTAACATCACATTCTGACCCCAGCCCTGATCACCCATGGCTCTGACCCCTAGCCCTACCCACCCAAGCCCTGACCCCCAGCCCTGACCACCCCAGCCCTGAACCCCAGGCCTGACCATGCACAGCCCTGACCCCCAGCCCTGACCACCCCCAGCCCTGACCACCCACACTTCAACCACTCTCACCCTATAGGGGCCCATGGCATCTCCATCACTTCTGCCTCCCAAGCCTCAAGCAAAGCTCATCTTTGACGCTATCTACCCCAGAACTGTGCAGGGAAAGATCCTGGAAATGTGGCTCCCAGCATAGAGAGCATGGATAGAACACTCTGGAACACACAGTATCAGACGTCCACCTCAGTCCTGAGGGGGACCCTACTGCAGAAGAGGCCTTACCTGCTTTTGGGGGGCAGAGGTGGCCTGGAGGGCTGGGGAGGAAGTCCCACTCCACCTGCAGTGACCAGGGCTGCAGCACCCCTCTCCTGCCACACCCCTCCCCCCATCAGCTGGCTGGGCCTTAGCCCCCCTCCCTCAGCTGCATCCCCCCCCCACCTGCAGCCCTGCTGCTGCATACCTGAGCTAACCAGCAGGGTGCCCCGCCCCCATCATCTACAAGACTCTTTAAAGCTCTTTGTTATACACCATTTTGGAAGTTTTATTAATCAAATTAGGCCACTTTTCTCTTTTCTGATTTGTCCCATTAGAGAGGTCTTGGCCCCAAGGTTACATGTTCCTTCAGAATCGCTTCTAGAAGTTTTCCACTTTTATCATTTAAATCTTTGATCCACCTGACATGAACCTTATAGAAGGTTATGACATTTGTCCCTGCTTCCTCCCCAGTTATGTACATCAACATACCAGTGAACATCTGTCATAGCCCATGTCTGGGCGAGCCACCCGTTCTGGTCTCTCCCCACCAACGCCATCTCCCCACAGGGCCTGAGTGCTTGGTTTTATCTGTGAAAAAGCAAAATCCAACTGAGTACAGTTGAAGATCTCATTGGCTTTACGAGATGATTCATTAACCAGCCAGCTTTTTGTCTCAGATAGGGGTCCAAGGTGATGCACAAAATGGGGGACGTTTATGGGCAGAAGTGGGGACACAGGAAAGACCATGTTGTTTCAGGCAAGATTCCCCTAGGGGACGTCCTCTCCCCCCAGGGACATCCTCCCCCCCAGGGATGTCCTCCTCCCCAGGGACATCCTCTCCCACCAAGGATGTCCTCCCCCACCAGGGACATCCTCTTCCTTCCAGGGACATCCTCCTCCCCCCCCCCAGGATGTCCTCTCCCCAAGGTCATCCTCCCCCACCCCCAAGACATCCTACTCCCCCTGGAATATCCCCCTCCCCCAGGACACGGCATCACACCTTTTGTCCAGGTGTCCCTCTCTGTTCTTTACTATGATTAAAGTCTTCTCCAGTTTCATTTATTCATAAGCATTTCTCAGCTTTGGTTGTTATGTGAGTTTTCCTATTCTTAACCAGTTATTAATAAGACAAAAAATAAATTTTATGTATTAATCTTATATATTTATCTTCTTAATATAGTAGGGTTTTTAAAACTTTTCTTCCAAGTTTCCTGGTTTCATAATCATGTCTTTGGCAAAAACAGATCATCGTTGCCTCTCCTTTTCCAATATTTGCACAGTGACCTTGTCCTTGGTGATGCTGACCCACAATGACGGTCCCACTGTGTGTGGCTGCCACGTGCTTGCTGGATGGGGTGGGAATGACATCTGCATCCCTCCCTGAAAGTCCTGTCATGCTGGGAACTTTCCAAAGGGCTGTCTGCATGATGCAGGCCAATGACCTCCTCACACTGATTTGGTGGGTTTGGTGACGCTGCTGGTGGTTCTCTGATTTTTCTCAAAGGAGCCCTACTTGGTTGTACTGTCTTAGGTTTGCTAGGATTTTACTTAGAACTTTCACTTTATTTTCCTGTTTTGTATTCTTTTAAAAAGAATCAGGTTGGTATTAAGACATGAAGTGGGACATTTTCTTCTTTTTTACAGTTTAACATAGTTCAGATAACATCTTGGGAAAGCATTTTGACAATCCCTACCCAATTGATCCTGCAATCCCGCACGTAGGAATTTACTGCATAAAAATACTTGTCAGTTACAATCCACATACAAAAAAATCTTTTTTTTTTTTTTTACACACATACAAAAAAATCTAATTAAAAATTGGGCAGAAGATCTGAATAGACATTTTTCCAAAGAATACACACAGATGGCCAACATGAAAAGATGCTCTACATGACTGATGTCAAGGAAGTGCCAATCAGAACCTCACCCTGTTAGGATGGCTCTCATCAAAAAAGACAAGAAAGAACCAGTGTTGGCGAGGACACAGAGAAAGGGGACCCTCATGCTCTGTGGCTGGGCACACCTGCTAGTGCACCTGCCACCGCAGAGATGAACCTGCAGGACCCTGTGGGGAGTGGAAAAGCCAGACACAAAAGGATATCCCACGGGCCTGCAGTTCCTGACGCCCTGGAAGAGTCAGGTGCCCAGAGGCAAGAAGTAGGATACCACGTGTCAAGGGCTGGGAGAAAAGGGAGATGCTGCTCCATGGGGACACGGGGTCAGTTGGGAGGGGCAGGGGTGCTCACCACAGTGGGAACAGACTTACTGCCTCTCAACTGGACGCATAACGGTAGGTAAAATGGTAGATTTCGTGTTATGTGTATTTTACTACATTTAAAAAATTGTGGAAATCCTAAGTACTTGGGACACCTGGGTGGTTCAGTCGGTTAAGCATCAGACTCTTGCATTTTGGCTTGGGTCATGATCTCAGGGTCGTGGGATTGAGCCTTGCATCAGGCTCTGCACAGAGCATGGAGTCTGCTTGGGATTCTCTCCCCGGCCCTACCCCCAACCAGCGCGTGCATGCACCCTCACTCTAGATAAATAAAATCTTAAAAAAAAAAAGAAAAGGATGGGATGCCTGAGTGGCTCAGCAGTTGGGTGCCTATCTTTGGCTCAGGTCGTAATCCTGGGATTCAGGATCGAGTCCCACATCAGGCTCCCTGGAGGGAGCCTGCTTCTCCCTCTGCCTATATCTCTGCCTCTCTCTGTGTGTCTCCTATGAATAAATAAATAAAATCTTAAAAAAAATAATGCTGCAAAAAAAAAAAAAAATGGAAATGCTGGCAGCCCTGTGGCTCAGCGGTTAGTGCTGCCTTCAGCCCAGGGCCTGATCCTGGAGACCTGGGATCGAGTCCCACGTCAGGCTCCCTGCATGGAGCCTGCTTCTCCCTCTGCCTGTGTCTCTGCCTCTCTCTCTCTCTTTCTCTGTGTCTCTCACGAATAAATAAATCTTAAAAAAAAAAAAAAGGAAATGCTAAGGACTTTTTTTTTTTGAAATGCTAAGGACTTAAATATCCAAATGATCTGTAAAAAGAGTAACAAGATTGAAAGATTTATTATATCAGATTTTAAGACTCATGGTAAAAACAGTATGTATTGACACAAGAATAAGAATCATTAATAATGGACAGAATGCAGACTATAGATGTAGACACATATTTGGGGGCAATTTATTTATTTTTTAAGTTTATTTTTCAGTCATCTCTACACCCAATGTGGGGCATGGACTCATGACCCTGAGATTAAGTCACATGCTCCACAACTGAGCCTGCCAGGCATCCTGGGCAACCATTTGAAAGATTTAAGAAAGATTTATCTTTAAGAAAGATTCCCAAACCATTCAGTAGTGGAGGGACAGCTGGGGTCGGCAGCCGGTGCTGTGACATGGGACCTGTGTTGGAGACATAAACTGCACCCCTCCCTCACACATGAGCTGCTGAGTCTAACACGGTGACTTTCCTGGTCAACTTTCTGTTCCCCTGAAGCTGTCTTGTCTGATTTTACAAATGCTCACTAGTGTGCCTAAGTACACACAGGGGTATCCACTGCGCCGCTGTCACGAGAGCCTGGTGGGATCTGTTCATCTACCTGGGACCCATGCAACTGCTGCCGCCACGCGGACGTGGTGCTGCCCTTGCAGGGGGGCAGGGTGTCACCCTGCATTACCACAGAGTACCCAGGAAGTTGTACCATGACCCTAGCAGGAGGGCTCAGAGCTGTGCTCGGGGCTCCTCCCCAGGACCATGTCACACACATGCATGGGGGTAACCAGGAAGGGCTCAGAGGAGCCAGAAGCAGTCCCGGGGTTGCACAAGGGCCAGAAACTCCAGCACCAAAGGCTGTTTTCCAAAGACATCGTCAGTTCCTGAATCTCAGGCCTTCCTCTGCTGTGTCCTGGTGCGGGTCAGCCAGCGGCCCCTCCCGCCCCAGCCCACATGTTCAAAGGAGGTATGTGTGGCTGGCCAGCCCCACAGAGGGTCAGCATGCCCTCCGCCATGTGTATGTGGTTCACCATGAGGCCTGTGCATCTGCTCCCTCATCTTCCCCTGCTCTGACCCCCTGACATGTGGACTCTCGGCTCTTGTGGATCTCCTGGATGACAAGAAGGTGGAGGTCCCTGAAGACAAACTGGAAGGGAGTAGAGAACTGATGCTGCCTTGGAGGAAAACAAGGATGGTCTCCTGGTTGACGGATGATCTTGGATCATGCTGACCTAGTGCCCTACAAGGCAAAACTGAAGGGCAGCCGATGCCTTCTGCTCTGGCGAGAGGAAAGCGCTGGTTGTAGGCCACTGAATAGGTCTAATATAGGACACGCAGCTGTAAATGGGAATCCCCCCCCCTTGAATGAGCTGAAGGATCACCCATTGTTCTCAAAGATGCACCTGCCTTTTGGAAGCCAAACCAAGGTGTGCCAGGAAGACATGCTCCTGTGCTTGTCAAGGCTTCCATTTTGGTGGCTCTGAAGCCATTTGGGGGATTGGGCCTGTTCTTTGGTCCAATTATACCTCCAGGAAGTGGGTGCAGGTCCCTCTGGGGAGATGGCCCCGGGCTGGCACCCCGCACAAGCCCTGGTGTGAGGTCCTCGCCTAGGAGTCCTGGAGATGGCAGCTAACTCAGAGCCAGGGGCTGGAGCTCCCAGGCAGGTCAGTGTGACACTCTTTCTCTCTGAAGCGATGACCTTCCAGCTATGAGCCCATTTTCTTTGCTCAGGGTGTCCTCCCCTCATTGTCAAGCCTCTGACTGATACCACCCTACTCCCCTGTTCCTGGTACACAGCAGGTGGTCAGCAGGACAGCAGAGGGGTTGGAGGGAAGCAGGACCTCCTTCTGGGCCCCCCTGGGGGACACAGCTCATGGGGGCTGGTGGGGTTGGGGGAGGTTGCACAAAGGCTGCAGACCACCTCCTTATCCCTGCCCCCTCTGACCCACCAGAGCTTTCCAGGATGCACAGATACCAGTAAGGCCACCAAGCATCTTCTCATCCCTGTTGCCTTACACCCATGCCTGGGCCTCCCCAAGAGACTGATCTGCGGACCCCAAGTGTCCCTGAGGCCCAACGTATTATCACAAAGGAAAAACGCCCTCTGCCATCTTCAGCACATTGGCATTTGCAGTGCTGGGTGGAAAGGCTGGGTCCTTGGTGAGAAACAGGACATGTCCCGTGTCCCTCCCACCACACACTGTCTGCAAAAAACACGTTTCCCTTAAAAGTGTCCCCAATGAGGCAGTAAAATGTACTAATTTTATTAAATCTTGGCCCTGGGACACACATCTTTTTAATATTCTGCATGACAAGATGGACAGTCTGTGTGACAGACTCCCACCATATGGTGTGACAGCTGTCAGGGAGAAACCCGTGGTCACCGTTCAGCTGCCAGAAGATGCAGCTGCAAACATTCTTCACAGGAACATGATTTTCACCTGAAAGGCCTCTGGCGCCTGGTGGATGTGCTCTTGGAAACCAACAAAGGGAGCTGTCCCTATGGGGAAAACAAGTCACGTGGTTGTGGTGGCCGGTGGCAAGATTCTGGCTTTTTTTGCCAAGGTCAGGACCGTGGAAGAGCTGCCTCCACCACTTTGAGCCCGAAAACCCACCCTGGGAAAGGCTCTGTCGGGGTGGGAGAGTGAGAGCAAGCAGCTGATGGTGTCTGTGCACTGTATTGGCACAGAAGACACGCATGACAGGGAGAACCAGAATTTTCCAAATGCCCGGTGTACAGCGTTACAGAGCGTGGCGAACAGAGAGGTCCCCGAGGCACGGGACCAATGGCTGGCTGCAGGTTCAACACAACTCTGGAAGAGCTGGTGGGCTGAGTCCACACTGCAACTAGCCCGCACAGCCAGTGTCCTTCCTGGGAGAGGTGTCCACCATGATCTTTCTGTTCCAAACACCTGTCCATGCAGCACCGGGTCTCCCGTGGACACCCACCAGCCCGAGGCTGGAGCCAGCTGTGACAGCCCGCGGGCTGCTCTCCAGCATGTGACACAACGCCCCTCTTCTCCTGAAAACCTTTTGTTTTGGAAAATGTATTTTTCATGCAATTGTTGTTTATGTCAACATGTAATGGGTTTATTATTTTGAAATGAGTTCAATTTTTAAGTTTTAGGTTTGATTTCTAGTAAGGTCTATTAGGTGTTAGAATTGGTGGCAAGGACCCACAGGAACAGAGGCTGTGACATCTTCAGGGCCTCCTAGAGCATGGAGGGCCCTGTGAGTGCAGAGGCTCGGGGACCAGCTCCGGGCAGCATGCATGCGGTCAGCTCCTCGAGAAGAAGCCACTTGGCTCTGGCTGGCCTGGGGCCCTGCCGCCCCTAGTGTAGTCTGAGTTCCTGTCTCCTGATGTTTTTCCAGCTTTGACCCTGACAGCACACTGGCTGCATGGGTGTGTGACTGACTGCACACTTTTTGCTTCTGTTCTGCATTTCCCAGCGCCACATGAGGCCCAGAAGGTCTTCCTCATCCTTCGGCCTCAGACCTCTGCCCAATTCTTTTTCATTTGAACTTAAAAATACTTTCTTCAGGGGCACCTGGGCGGCTCAGTGAGTGAAGCATCTGGCTCTTGATCTGGGCTCAGGTCAGGATCTTAGGGTCATGAGTTCAAGCCAGTGTCAGGCTCTGCACTGGGCATGGAGCTGACTTCAAATTAAAAAATAACAACAACAACAGCAAAAAAAAACAACTTTCTTCCATTTAAAAATAAACAAAAACCCACAATGTTATTGAGACTATTGCTGGAATTACATTAATAAAATGATGACACTTTACTTTGGCACTTTTAGGAGTATGCGGTTTCTCCACACGCTCAGGAATTGTTTTAGATTTTACAATAAAACCGTAGTTTTCTTCATGTCGATCCTGTACCTTTCTGGTTAAACTTGCTCATTGACTCCCTGCGGTTCTCAATTATGACCCTGAATGGAACATTCCATTCTCATAATCCACAGGTTCAAGGTGGTTTAAAGAGTTCTTGATCTTTTGTATATCTGGTTTTCTGGGAATATAAAAATATCATCTGAAAATAAAGGCAATTTTCATTTCTTTTATCCCACTTATTTGTTTGTCTTGATGCATTAGCTATATAAATGCCAAAATTAAATAATAAAGGGAGAGAAAGCATATTTGTTTGGTTTTGGAGTTCAGTTTTTGGTGTTAAAAGGATCATTGTCTTGCTGGATCTTATCAAACAGCTTAGTGTTTACTAATAGAGTCACTTTCCCCCTTAATGGACCAATAACTACAGAAGAAATCAGAGACTCCCTACAGACACACTATTTATGAAGCGCGTGACGCAGGCGGTTGTCCGGCTGGCCTCCACCTGACCACACCGGTTCTGCTCCAGCCCAACAGAGTATGGGGCAGCACAGAATCTGCAGACATGGAGAGAGACAGCACTGATCCCACACTCAGAGAGACAGCTGGGAAAGTTAAATAGTGCAAATGACTTCTAATTACAAAGGCAAAAATGCTACATAACATACTGCAACTATCGCCTTCTGCCACTATGTTAACCCTGGTAGCCCTGGCCACAGCTCCAGGAGTGCCAGGATGGTTAAACCTGGTATGCCATGGCCATGGCCACAGCCACAGCCATGGGAGCACCAGGACAATTAAGGTAAGGGAGCTCCTGCATCACTTGGAGCCACAGTCTGTGGCTACCTCGGTGACCCCTGGGCCACTCTGATGGGGTTCTAGCCAGCAGCCTTGGCATAGCCCAGCTGGCTGAGTGTCTGTCAATCAAGTTCTCGCTGGGACATCATGTCTCAGGAGCAGCTGGGTTCCTGTGCCAGAAATCAGCCCTCAGTTCAGGTCTTCAGGATGAGGCACTCCCTCAGTCTCCTGTGTGGTGGGGTTTTGGGGCTTGTTCTGTGCATGCCTCCCCAGCACTGGTTCAGTGACGTCATGCTGGTAGCTGACACTGGCCTTGCTGGGAACACTGACCGTTTTGGCAGAAATTGGTAAGTTCACACTTCAGCAGAGCCTCCTGTCATACATTCACCGAACTACTGCCTTGGGTCCCAAAGCAGCATGGTTTGAGTCCATGCACATGTGCTCTGGGGAGGTCCCCGAGCTGGTGAGCCAGGGGCATCCATCCTGTCCCATCTGGCTCTGCCCTTGGGACTCTGTAGCCAGGCCTGCGACTGGCCTCTGCTCCACCTGCTCGACCTTGGGTGGCTGACTTCAAAGGCCACCGGAGTGTCCCATGAGGGGTCACTGTCAACCAGGATGACTGTGACAGCCTCCTGGCAGGACCCCTGCCTTCATCCCACCTGCCATGGGGCTGCTCAGGAGCACCCAGAAGGAGCTTTTCTAGGTCAAAAGTCAACCATGTCACTTGCTGCATCGCCTCACAACCCTGCTGGGTGGGCAGCAACATGCTGGTCCCAGGGGGGGCCAGACACTCCCGTGCCCTTCATCCTTTGCAGTCAGAGACCAAAGCCCAAGTGGCCAACAGGACTTAGGAAGAATTCAGCAGAGAAGCGTCTGGAATGGTTTTCCTGCTGGAAAGGGCAGAGGCAGGGAGGTGAGCATTATCTCACAGCTCTGGACACCACCACCTCCTGCTCAGAGGGCCCCGGCCAGCACAACACCCAAAAGCTTCCTGTGCGTCTGTGGCCTGGCAGCACTGCCTGGTTGCTTCTGTGAGGCTTCCTCATGCTTGGGGCCAGCCCTTCCTGTCCTGCGTTGACCACCACCTGCTATCATGTCATTTCCTTCTTCACGCGTTTGCCTCCTCGCCTGGAACGGGAGTGCATGAGGCCAGGTCTCTGTTCATCAGCGTGACACCCCCAGGCCTAGGAAAATGAACAGGGTGGTGCCTGTGGGTAGCTGTCATTGCTCTGTTAGCCTTCTTGCTGGGAGGCGATTGGAGCACCCAGTACTCCAAGGAGAGGGCTGAAGGCTCCCTGGGTTTGCTGTGGCATCAGAGGCCACCTCAGGAGTACTGCTGCAGACTCTAGGGAGGGGCAGGCAGGCATCTCCCCTTCAGGACAGTTTCTGTTACGAGTGCAAAGCTGCCACTTGCCTGTTTCCATATGCTTTTGTTTTTGGAATAGACCAACCTGGCGCATTCCCTCTGAGCTGGAAAGGTGAACTCTGCTTCCAGGGAGTCATGAAAAATTACACGTTTAATGCCGAAAGCCATTTCAAGTATCATCGGTAGTCACCACACCGGAGAACAGGTTCTAGGAGTTCCCACTGGGGGATCACCCCCGTGTGACCTGGTGTCCTTGGCCTGTGTCTGAGGAGGGGCTTCCACACCAGGAAGTCCGATCCAGGAGCAGCCCCAGGGGCCAGCGTGAGGCTGGCTCCCTCTGGGACCTGGCCTGGCCCGGCCGGCCTGTGTTGTATGGCCAGCCTGCTCGGGCCCTGGCTGCCCACCCGCCCGCCAGCCCACCCGGCAGCCTACACGTTGGACTTGGCAATCATCTTCTCCAGCAGACTCATCATGCGCTCCTGGAGCTGCAGGCTCTGCACCTGCAGGAGGTTCTGCTGGTCCAGCACGCGACGCACCTCCCGGCACGTCTCCTCCATGGCGCGACTCAGCTTGCGCTGCTCCTCCAGCATGGCCTCCAGCAGCCGCAGCTTCTTCTTCTGGAAGTGGCAGCTCTGCACCTTGCGCTTCTTCACGGGCCGCTCGTCTGACCTGGAAGGACAGTGCCAGCGTGTGGATGGCCGGCCACACAATCAGGGCACCAGAGGCTCCGCCTGCCTGACTCTCCCACCCACCTCAGTGGACACATGGGAAACAGCCCCTGGCAGCCGAGCAACTGCTCTGCCCTCCCTCCCCCTGGTCCAGCAGGTGAGGAGGGCTGTAGCCCTCCTCCCAGGATGGTGAAGGGGCCAGGGGGCTGTAGGCACTGCTGTCCTGTGGGCCTCTAGGCAATCCAGTGACCTGGGTCACAGGATAATCCAAACCCCCTGTAGCCTAGGTGGAGCTCAGGAGTAGCAGCCACACGGGGGGAGAGATGAAGAGGACTGGGTGGGAGGGGGGCAGGGCAGTGTGGCCTCTCCCCCAGGACTGGAACCTCTGGTAGTTCCAGGGAGGCGAAGGTAGCCTACCGGGTGGTAGGCCCTGTGCTCTCTGTTGTGGGCTGGGGAGTATCCCTGCTCTAACTGGCCAGACCCCACCAGTCCCCTTGCCTGGGCCCCATGCTTTGAAGTAGAATGGTGACCTGGCCAGTCTCAAGGGCAGGGGTGCCAGTCCCACATCCTGGCCCTTGCGTGGCGCCTGGGGCAGCTGTGAGTCTGGGAACCAGGTCAATCCACGGAAACACCTGGCCATAAACCTCAGGTTTCTAGCTGACTCCATCTGGCCATCCACAAATGCATTCTTGTTTGGGGTCTTTGCTGAGAAATCCCCTCCAGGGAAGGGGCTCTGGACAAACCAACTGGCAGCCCCTGATACCAGACCTTCCTCATCTTACCCCCATCTGACAGACCTGGAGGCCAGGGCTGCGGGAGAGGCAGGGCCAGTCAAACCCACTCTTTTCCTTCTCTTCTCAGACTAGCCAACTCCTATTCACCCTTGAAAGCCGAGCCCTAATGTCCCTCTTTTGGTTCCCCTGGCCTCCCCAGCACAGGAGTGTGCCTCCTGTGTACCTGTCTGTAGGCATCTCCAGGGCAGGTTCAGGTGGCCGGAGCTGGCCCAGCAGGATGTCTGTGAAGGGATAGCAGAGGGGACAGGCGCGTACACTGCAACCAGCTGAGGGGAGCACACTGGAGGCTCAGCCCAACATGCCTTCCAGCCAGCCTAGCCAGGTCAGGATCTGCTTGGGGGTGATGGGGAGCCCAGGAGCCAGAAACTGGGGGCTGGGGGGAATGGGACATTGGATTTCCTCCATGTCCCAGGCCCCACACCAAGTTCCTTCTCTCTCATGACACTCCCAGTCACCCTCAGACAAAGTGCTGATTCATCCCCATTTCACAGAGGGAGACTGAGGCCCAGAGAGGTCAAAGACTTTCCACACAGCTAGAAAGTGATGTAGCCAGGAGCCAAAACCAGACTATGGACATGAAGGCCCGCACTTCAATAACCACCTGCCTCCCAGTCTGAGGCCTCCCCATCTGAAGCCTCCTGTCTGAGGCCTCCTGGTCTGAAGCCTCCTGGTCTGAGGTCTCCCTCTCTGTGGCTCCCTATCTGAAACCTCTCCATCTGAAGCCTCCGGGTCTGAAGCCTCCCCAGCTGAAGCCTCGGTCTGAGGCCTCCTGGTCTGAAGCCTCCTGGTCTGAGGCCTCCAGGTCTGAGGCTTCCCCGTCGGAAGCCTCCTGGTCTGAGGCCTCCAGGTCTGAGGCTTCCCCGTCGGAAGCCTCCTGGTCTGAAGCCTCCTGGTCTGAGGCCTCCAGGTCTGAGGGCTCCTGGTCTAAGGCCTCCCCATCTGAGGCCTCCCCGTCTGAGGACTCCCTGTCTGCGACCTCCCCATCTGAAGCCTCCCAGTCTGAGGTCTCCCTGTCTGCGACCTCCCTGTCTGAAGCCTCCTGGTCTACAGCCTTCCTGTCTGCAGTTTCCCTGCCTGAGGTCTCCCTGTCTGTGGCCTCCCCGTCTGAGGCCAGCCTGCCTGAGGCCCCCTGTCCCAGGACGCACTTGCACACCACCTAGGCCTTTGCAGCCAGCCAGGGATGGCAGAGGACACCGCCGCCCCAAGAGCCGCCGCCCATCACCGCTCCCAGCCCCTTCTCTGGCTGCCGGGCTCCTGGCCCCGCTGGTGGTGGAGGCAGGGAAGGAAGACACACACTACCTGAACTTAAGGGACAGTAAGCTGGAGGAGCTGTCGGAGCGATCGTCCTGGAAGCGGCCTTCGTAGGAGCACTGGTTATACGGTAAGTACAGAGGGGTGGACTTAGCAGACGGCGACAGGGACGCCTCGGTCTGGGACGTGGAGGGCCCCGGCTGCTGGCCGTCCGGCAGTTTGCCATCACAGGACTCGGGGACCTTGGCCAGAATCCTATCAATGGCTAGGTAATAGGGCCAGTCGGGCGGGACGGACTCGCTATCTGTCATGCATTTTAATTTCCTGAAACGAGAGACACAAGAGCCAAGGGTGAGAAACGGAGCTGCTCCCGGCCTGTCCTGCCTGGCCCTCGGTTGAGGGGTGCTCAGGGGTGCAAGAGCCCCGGGGCCCAGGGAGCCGCATGGCTCGGGCGGGTACCACTCTTGGCCAGACAGCCTCCCCAGAAGGACTCCAGAGCCAGGGTGACATTAGACTCTGAGAGAAGTCAGGCTGGGGACCTAGCCCACCAGGGACAATAGAAGCACACGCCCCAAACGTGAATACGGTCATCTGGGAGTGTGGGGGCCTGAGCTGGGCTGAACTGCCTCTGTCCTGGTTGTTCTGTAGTCTCTAAACTCCCTACAGTGAACAAATATTCCTTTTAATAAAATATACAAACATAGGAATAAAATATAAGTATGATATAATACAACCATAAGGTATCATAATATAAGAAATTTGTTTTTCTAAAGAGACTGCCTTAGAAGTGAGAACCACAGGAGTTAGGAGCATAGGTTTTAGTGTCCAACACATCTGAGCTGTGTCTCATCTCCACCACTTTGCTGTGTGACCTTAGGCAGGTTCATTAACCTCTCTGAGCCTTCATTTTCACATCAGTAAAATGGGGATGAGCAAAGTAAATTCGTCACAAGCTCCAGGGAGAATCTAATAAGACAATGCCCAGTTCCCAGCAAACAACAAACATTCTTGGCTGAAGGTACCAGGAGGCAGCAGGGCTGGGCCTGATCTTCCTCATCCCTACTTAGACTCCGGGGCCAGGGTTATGCACAGCATAGCTCTGCCCACCGTGGGCTGGAGCCCCGTCCAGCCCTGTGTCCTGCCCTTCCCCACCAGACAGGCCTTGTAGTTCCCTGGGTCTTGGCCGAATTTGGGGAGGTCAGCGATGGGAAGACTCAGCTGCAAAAGAGCTGGGAAGGAGGCCACCACTGGGGGGTTGCTGTCTGCCCATCAGACCCAGGCTTAGTCTGTGGCCCCTACGTTCCTGCCCCACGCTTCTCCCGGGGATGGAGGCCCTCATACTCTGGCGACCCCTGTGGCCGATGGCTCCTGTCTCTTGATGTGGGCTTCCCTCCAGGGCGGGCCCCTGGTCACACTCACACTTTCGTCACTAGAAATACTGAGCTGAGCATCTGACTGAGCTGCCTTCAGCAAATAGACCCACCTGGACAGCAAGGGGGTCTGTGGCCCATGGCAGCAAGCTGAGGCCAGCTGCAACAGGAGGAGGCCTTAGGAGCATCATCCACCAGTCTGGATGTCCAGAGTAGAAAGCCAGGAGCAGGCCACAGAGGCACAGGCTGCTCTGTCTCCTGACCCCAGGACCATCCAACACCCTGGAAGCTGCACAAATTCCGGGTGTGGGAAGTGGAGGACCGTGCCTGGGGCCCCCACCCAACCTCTGCCTAGGCTCCCCTCCAGCACGCCCAGAGGTCTCCCTGTGCTTGCTCTGACCACTCAAGTCAGGCTCTCCTTGGAGAAATGAGGGAAAGCCTGTTTCTGGCACAGGAGACCCCTGAACGGTATTCCAAGAGACCATGTTCCACGGAACCTGGCCACCCCCACAGGCTTCCTTAGCCTGACAACCTCAATATGTAAGGAGCTACCATGAGAAAATAAAAGATTTTGCTATGGGAGGCTTTCTGGGTGGGGGTGGAAAGAAACAGATGAAGAACCAGTCGACCAATTGAAGCATCAGCCTGTTACAGGCTCTGTGGTCTAGGGCTCAGTTCCCACCTCCACCCCACCCCCCCGGGAATGGGAAACTGCAGTCTTGTACATGTGTGCAGCCCTTACCCCCAGCACCCAGGGTCTGGAGGGGTGCCCCACTGGAGGGCCCAGGCCCCACTCTGCTGCGCCTGCATGGCCTATGGGCTCCCTGGCCCCCATCCCCACCTCCAAGAAGGGAACAGAATGCCTCCCCTGGGACGCTGAAGATGGCTTTCAGGATAAATAATGAACAACTCTGCCAGACACCAATCAGAGCCCATGAGTTACTGAGTCAGATGGGAAGCTGGTAAAGCAGCCGGCCTTGCCTCTGCAGTGCCCCCGCCCCGCAGCAGGCACAGAGGGCTCGCCATGTGCATGCAGGTGGCAGGAATGGGAATACACACGCATCTACAGACAACCTATCCCTTGCACCATGAGCAGGTGGCTGCTATTTATGTGGTGACTGAGGCCCTCAGACCCTTAGTGGTTGCCTCATTTCTGACCCCTGGGCCGGCCTGGGGGCTGGGACAGCAGGTGGAAATGGGCCTTCGGGCAGGTCCAGGCCCTGCAACTCCTCCTCCCAGGGCCACAGAAAGTTAACTGGAAATAGCCGACTGGGTATCATGACAGGCTGAGAGCTATAGGCCGGGGGTGGGGGAAGGACAGCAGTCGGCTCCTTGCCTACTGTTGCCAGGGACAGCCCTCTCAAGGTGCCCAGGGCAAGCCTGCAAGCCCTGTGTGCAGCCACCCCTGGCTGCACCTCTGCCCTCTGCTCACAGCAGCCACCTTGGGCACCTGCATATCCTCTGGGGATGTGGACAGGCCCACCCTTGCCAGCATGCCCTGTGGCCCCCAATCTCATTACCAGTCTTCCCCCTGTGGCCCCCAGCAAGACCCTAGTCAGACCATGACCCTTGCCCTGCCTGTGACCCTTACCATGCCCATGACCCACTCCATATCTGTGACCTTGGCTGCACCCAGGACCCTCTGCACTGCTGTGATCTCTGCTCTACCCAGGACCCTCTGCACACCATGACCCTCTGCAGATGGGCTTGGCTCCCACACACCCAGAGACACTGGGCCCGTGGGGACATAGCTGCCCCCTCACCCCTCCCAGGGGCCAGAGCTCCCCTGCCTGGAAACCTTGTTGGCAGCCCTGACTCACAGCTCCCCTCATGCCACGGGGGGGGGGAGGGAGGGGAGGGGCGGGGTAGGTGGAGGCATCATAGGCCCACACCTGTCCTTCCACAAACAAGGCCCCTCCCACAAGTGGGGCCCCTGGGTGGTCCAGGGCTCCAGTATCAGCCCTACTACACACCCTGCTCCTGACCGTGGCCCATGATGGCAGCACTCACGTCTGGGCTCAGTGGTTGCTGGGAATGACAGAGTGTCAGCACCAGGCAGGACTGCAGGCCTAGGAGCTGAGCCTCCTCCTCACCCCTGGCCTCAGTTTCCCTGCCTGTACGGCAGCCACTCTGCCTAGCTGAGCCATGCCTGGGTGGCCAGCCTGTGGTATCCTGGTTGGCGGGAGGGTGTGTGGAGCCTGGGCGGGAGTCGTCTGTGTGGGCGCCTGTGTCAAGGGTCTGGGGAAGGGTGCTGATCACCCCAGCTCTGCCTCGCTGGGCCTCAGCTTCTCCCTCTCCTTGATGGGAGGCGGCAGATAGTTTGTAGAGGCCCCATCTCGTGGCCCGGCTCTGCCCACACAGTGCCTTCCCACCTCAGCACCGAGGGGGTCCGTGGCAGCAGTCTAGGCACAGATGGCTGGCTGCCAAGCCATAGTGCTGGCCGTGGGGGTGCATGGTGGTGCGGCACGTGGGGCCCATCTATACAGGAAGGAGCCGGAGCCCAGGGCGTGGGGGTGCGTGCGGGTGTGTGGGGTGCGCAGAGTGCATAGGCATGCGGCGCGTGGGGCCCACCTGTACTGGAAGGTCATGTTGGTGATCTTGATCTTGATCTCCTCGCCCAGCCGGCGCTCGCCTGTCATCTCCAGCAGTTTGCTGGCCATCTTCTCGTACACCTTGGCATTGCGCTTGGTCTGCTTCAGCTCGTCGAAGAATTCCTCCCAGACGAGCATGAGGCCGCGCATCTCGGCATCGGTCCAGTTGCGGGCACGCCGGTGCTTCTCCGTCTGAGGGGACACGAGGTAGCCAGGCGCTTCGGCTGCTGCCATGCCGGAGGTACCTGCGGGGTTAAAGGAGCGCGCTCAGGCGGGGCCTGTGGTCTGCGCACCAGGGCGGGAGCCCCACTCCTGGAAGGCAGCTCCACGCTCAAAATGGGGCCTACATCTGACAGGCAGGAATTTAGTTAAAAGCTTTTAAACGGGAAACGTCATTTTGATGTCACGTTTCCATAGCAACAGAGCAACTGCATAAGCTACAACAACAGAAACCTTTTAACTGAAAGCGCAGGAATCAGGGCTGCCCTGACGGGCCATCAATATTGCAGCGAGTGGGCCAGACCTCAAACCTACGGCCCAGGCGCCAGCCCGGCCACCAGGCCTCACCTGCTGGGAGCCCAGCGTGCTGGGGTCCAAGCCGAGCCCCCAGCTCAGCCCCGCCCCACTTGCACAGACCAGGGGCCCAGGAGGAGCCCGGGGGTGGAGGGTGGGGGGTAGGCAGTCAGGGTGGGGTAAAATGAGGGGCCAGGGCCAACAAAGATGGAGATGGGGGGTAGCAAGGAGGGGGCACGGAGGCAGATACCCCCAGGGACCCTCGGCGACATACATGCAGGCATGCCAGCCCTTGCCTACCCACCATGCGCTCCACACACAGCATCCCCCCAGCAGTGCATGCACACTCCGTGACTGGAAACTAAGTGTGCCAATACCAGGCTGGGCAAGAGTGGGACTCTGTCCATTGGATCACCTGTCTCCCTCCTTGCAGGTGAGGCTGGTTGCTGGCCTGGGTGATGGGTGAGCAGAGAAGCCAGGGCAGTTCTTGAGGCCGAGAACAGTAGGCAGGCAGTATGTATTGGTCCCTCCCACCCTGGGCAGCCCTGCCACAGCCCTAACCACCCTGCTCAAAACCATCTGCACCTACACCCACTTCTACCTGGTAGGCGGCATGCTCTCTGTAGCCCCAGAGCCTCACAGAAAAGGGTTTGCTAAATAAAGGCTTGCTGAGTAACAAAATGAAAAAATGAAGGGACCAGTCTTAAGTAGCCCCTCTCCCTTCCCAACTGATCATCTAGAGTTTGCTTTTGGACTTACTGGGGAATTCCTGTTCATTCTGCAAAACCCTGTTCTGACATCACCTCCTCTCTGAAGTCTTTCCCACTCCATTTTGGTCCTTCTTCCCTTTTTCCCTCATGCCAATGGATCTACCTTGAGCCAGGCCATTTTATTTTTCTATTCTAGTTGTGTGACCATGGGTTCAGAACACTTGCAAAAGTGAGAAAATAAGAATTTGAGTATTCTCTGAACACTGGGCACTGTTTTATGAGCTACACACAATTATCTTCTACTTTGATCCTCATGGTCACTATGTTCCAAGTGAAGAGCTGAAGGGGTAGAGAGGGGAGATCACCCAGAGGGCAAGCGGCTGGCTTGGAGCTGAGTCTGACCCTGTGCTGTGTTCTCTCTTAAAGGAGCATTGGCTGGCAGGCTCCCAGTTAAAAGACACCCATCACCCCTCCCATGTCCATGGTCCTGGGTGGGGCATACGACATAGCCAGTGCAAACTGCTGTGTACCTGGAGAATCTCCCCACCATTTCCTGGGGCCTCCTGGAAGGCAGGGATGCTGGCAGGGTGGCTGCTGGTGGGTGGCCATAGGACCCTCACCCTCTCTCAGCAGGTCTCTGCCAGAGTTTGACTGAGGCTCATGACGATGTCTCAAGGGCCAGGGCCACAGCTAGGGCTGGCTAGCAGTGGCAGGGCTGGGGGGACACTGTAGGACAAAGGTGAGTAAGACAGAGCCAGCAATGAGACAGCATGACTATTCCTGGGGGAACTGGAAAGGTGGGCTTGAGAGCCAGGATGAGGATGGGCTGAGGTGTCCCCTGAGGCTGGCCAGCTGATGTCAGCAGGATGGTCAGCCAGAAGAGGAGAGCAGGGCCACGCAACCTGTGAGTACCATGGGGACAAAGCGCCACCTAAAGGCATCAACATTCCAAATTAAAAGATTAGGGGATCCCTGGGTGGTGCAGCGGTTAAGCGCCTGTTTTTGGCCCAGGGCGTGATCCTGGAGACCTGGGATCGAATCCCACGTCGGGCTCCTGGTGCATGGAGCCTGCATCTCCCTCTGCCTGTGTCTCTGCCTCTCTCTCTCTCTCTCTCTCTCTCTGTGTGTGACTATCATAAAGAAATAAAAATTAAAAAAAAAAAAACAAAACAAAATTAAAAGATTAAACTCCAATGGTTTAAATGCAGGAGCCCAGCACACCTGCTGGACAGGCCCCAGCCCTGTCCCCTAGGCGCAGGCACCCAGCCAGGCTCCAGCAACCATGGGCCATCAGTGAGCCTGCTAGCATTTGTGGGATTCTGGCGGTGGGCTAAGCCTAGGGGAGGGACTCCCAAAGTCCAGGCTGAAAATCACCATGGTTAATAGAGATCCTCCTCAGATCTGACCATGCATGTGAGTCTCGCTCCAAGTTGGCCTAGAATGCAAGAGCTGAACTTGGAATAGGGAGCTGTTGCTCAGGTGGAAGGGTGGGAGGTACCCAGGATGGGGTGGGTAGATCAGGGTCAGAGCTGCAAGTGCAGCACGCCAGGGCAGAAGGGGCACGTGTGCACGCTCAGAGGGGCCTGCACCTGCCCCATTTATCTGGCTCCTGCTTCAAGGCCTGGGCCTGCTATCAGCTTCCTATAGGTGTTCCTTCCTCTCCAGGGGGTCACCTGGGGACACAGGGACATGGCCACCCGGCCAGGCAGCACCCTCCAGGCATGGGCGCCTTGCACGTGGTGCTCAGGATGTCGGAGAGTGACTGAAAGGCCCTCCAGGAAGCCCTCAGTCCTTAGATAAAAGTTTTCAGCCCCACCTGAGGGCTTTCTCCAGCGCAGCTCCAAGGGCTGAGCCAGGCTGCCTCCTGGCATCTCTTGGCACATGGGCAGAGCTGCTGGACAGGGCAGTCTGGCATACTGGCTTGGCTGGGGATGGTGAATACTCATCAGGAGAAGCTGCTGTCCCAGGGACCCCAGCCTGGAAAACACTGAGAGAGCTGGTCCCACTGCTTCCAAGAGGCAGCCGCTGGCCTCTGGGTGTCGCACACAGGTGGTTCCTGAGGAGGAGTCTGCACCACCTACTTCCCCTCCAGCTGGCATGTCCAGAGGAGTCAGGGTAAAAGGCTGGACTCCAAATGTCTTTTCAGGTTTCAATGGGCATTGGAAGCCCCCCCAGAGAGGGGAGTCCTGGGAGAGCTTCTGGAAGCAGAGCCCTCATGTGGTCCTCCCAGGGCAGGTACCCACTAGGTGGAAGGGGTTGGCAGGGTAAAAACCCAGCTGCCCCCACTGGGGAGGGCCCTGCCTGTCCTTGGTGGGGAGGAGCTCCATACCTTGGCACAGCTGCATGGCCTGCTGGGACCCTCAGTCTCTGAGGGATGGGGAGGCAGAGGGCCAGGGGCTGGGTATCCGGCAGTACCTGTAGGGAGAAGGGGTAGTCAGGCCTCAGCAGGAGGCCCCTGTAAGCCTCCATCTCCACATGAAAGGATGCTCCCTCTGAGGTACTTAGGCTGACATGGGGGCTGCAGGTAGGAAGCAGATGTGCCTGTGAGGAGCCTCTGGCACCTGCCAGGAGCAGGCACTGGTGAGCCGAGCCTATCACGGTGGGCAGGTGAGCTCAGGATTGGAAATACTCCATTCTGGGCAAAGGCAGGGAGGCATGTGGAAATGTGGCTGGAGGGTGGCTGGGGTGGCAGGGTAGAGCCGTGGGAGGACGGGACTGGAGGATGGGCTGTCCCAGTGGAAGGGTGCAAGGATCGTCCCATGATGGCCTGGCTCACAGTGGAAGGAAGCTTCAAGCTGCCACCCAGCTCCCTGCTGGCCCCACTGGCCTTCTCCCTACACCTCCAGGTAGCCATACCCTTCTCTGTCAGCACTCTGCCTCAGTGGGCAAGCCCCGACCCTGCAGCAAGGGCTACCCTGGACCCACCCACACCCCACGTGCCCCTCAGGCTCCCTAGAGGACATGGCTGACAGGGAGGCCACTGGAGCAGCCCCCACATCTGTTTGGGAGGCGAGTGGCAAGTGCCATCTGACCAGATGCAGGGGCCAGGCTGTCAAGACTCCCAACTCAGTAGAAACTGCAGGACATGCTCATGGCTCCCCAAATGGAGTCTTGGTGACACGCCACCAAGTGGCACTCAGACTACTGCCAGGCTGCTTCGGGGGCAAGGAACAGCCCCCCAACACATCTAAAAGGGCTTCAGAAGCTTCTCAAGTGAGGTCCTGCCCTCCATTGAGGGCACCTCTACCGTGGCAGCAGGAGGGCAAGTGGCGGATATGCAGCGGCAAAGCCCACTCACACCAGGGGCTCTGGGACCCTTCTTTTTAGAAACAATGGGTAGGCCAGGTGTGCTCAGATGCACCAGGCAGGGTCTGGCTGTCCAGGCTTGGACGAAGAAGGCTGTGAGGACACAGCCTTGGCAGCTTAAGGTGCCATCAGAGGCTTTAGAATTATATCACAGAGGAGACAAGAGTTGGGGAGCTCAAGTCAGCCCCATGGAATGTTAGAGCAGAAGTGAGACTGCAGCCCTAGTGGGGAGACACTCCGCCATGGTCCCTGTGCAGGGCAAGGGGGTCCTGAGGCTCCTGGCGCCAGGCTCTCAGGGCTGTCACAGATTCTGGGGGAAACCCGTGTGCTCATCATTCTCCAGCCCAAGGGCAAGGACTATGGTGCCCGTGTCTCCCTTGCTGGCACCTGCTGTAGTGTGGGCTCTGGGGCTGCCCTGCCAAGACAACAGGCAGCTGATTCCTGCCAACTGACAGGAACCCAAGAGACTTGGGTGAATGGTACTCCACCTGAGCAGCCTGCCGCCTAGTTGTCTGTGCAGGCTGGTGGGCAAAACACCTGTACCCCAAGAGGACTGCTGACTGCCGACAACACCGACTGCCAAAGCTCCCCAGGAGGGGTCTGCCCAGAGCTAAGAAGCATGGTACCCCATTCAGCTGATTAGGTAAGACTCTGAGGAGCAGGGATGACTCAGCTCAAAGCTGACAGGCTGGGAGCCAGAAGCCCAGGAGCCAGCGGGGCCCTGCAGGGTGCTCAGAGGCCAGGCCACAGTCCATGTGAGCACTTCAGCTACCCTGGTGTCCTTAGCACCCCTCAGGGCCCAGATGCACATGGAGGCAGAGATTCAATGCTGAAACCACATGGCCCTGGTGTGAACAGATGACGTCACTTGACCGGCTCATGTCTGGGGCCCACTTCCTCACCCTCATCCTGCATCCCTGGTGGAGGTTCTCCGAGAATAAGCATGCCTCGCAGCCCAATAGCATGTGGTGTCATTTCCCTTTAATTCAGATACACAATGTTTGTAGCAATTTAAAAAATTTAAATACACGTCGCATGTCAGTCCTTCCCTCTCCTCTTGGAAGTGGACAGTCCAGTCCAGGCCAGGGCTCCGGGACATGCCCCTCATAGCCTTGCTGGCTCCCAGTGTCGGGGGAAGGTGGTGGCGGTGTGGCAGGGGTGAACACCCTGATGACGCTCAGCCGCAGCACGAAGCAGTGATTATGGACAGGCGGCCAAACTTAGCTCAGCCCTGCCACCTGCCACAGGTCCTTGATGGCCAGGGTCCTCGAGCGCCGGTGGTCACCACCCAGTTTGCACTGGGAGACTGTGGTGACTGTCCAGGGCCAGGTGCTCTCAGAAGCACTCAGGGTGGGGTGAGGGGGTTCCTTCAACTGCATTGAAAGTGACAGGTGCATGGGGGAAAGTGACCCCAGAACCTTCCAGGCCACCTTCACTTGTCACAGCCATCTGAGTGGGCCACTCCCTGCTGAGGCCATGCCCAGGCCAGCAGCAGCAGCACAGCCCTCCAAGCTCTCCAGCAAGGCCGTACCCCTGTTGCTGCCCACTGCCCCACAGAACCACCCCATGGTCACCCTGGCTGGGAGCCATGGCTTCAAGGGCTCCCTCAGAGGGAAGGACAAAACACAAAGTGAGGACGGCTGCTAGGAAGGATGCTCACAGTATCAGAGGAAATGAATTCCACTCCCCACAAATCCCAGAGAACCACGCCCACTGCAGCCCTGCAGCAGAAGGAAGCTTTGTCTGCAGGTCAGCCAAGAGCAGTTATTGCTGTTTTGTCTGTTCCAAAGGAACCGCCAACAAGGGCTCGCTGTAGCTCCCCGGGAGAAGCTGCCTCATGGTCTTGGGGATTTGCAAGTGACACCCCGCAAGGAGGGGGCGGCCTGGGTGCGGTGGGGGTCCTTTCAGAGGTGAGGCCTTCTGATGTTACATTCGGGGTGTCTGCAGGGGTCAGCCTCATTCATCGTCTGGAAAGGATCCATTTGCTGGCAAAAATATGACAGGACAAGAGAAGCTGGTACAGACAGCTGGGAGTTGCCCACAGCACTTGGCGGGGCAGCAGGGGAGGGAGGCGCGTTTCTGGAGGAGCCATGCTTAAGGGCATGGCCCTGGCTTCATTCAAATTTGTGGAAAAGTGTCGGCAGGAAAACAAACCCTCTCCCTGGCAAATAGACCTGCCAAATTAGTATTTTCAACAAAATTTGGATTGATGATAGGATTGCTGCTTGCCACAGACTTCTAGGAACTTGGTAAAATGTTAATTCCTTGTGCAGAAAGCTGGCAAAGTGGATGAACCCTTTCCTAAGTAGGATTTTAATGAGCAATGACATGGTTCCTAGACACCTCAGCCATGCAGCCAGCTCCATGTGGCACATCTAAAAGTCAACTTCTGCAAAAAACTTACGCGGCCATTCCTGGTAGCCTTGCATACCTGCATATTGATATACATATAATGATAGATCTGCACACATGCACACACACACACACGCACGCACTCATCCCTGGCTAGAGAACTTCACTCACCAACTCCCATCCACCTCCAGATCACACAGGCCAGTCTTTGGGGTCAGCACGTACAGCCAGAGCTAAGCTCCAGGGCCCCTGGCTAAGCACCGACTATTTTGGATCAATGGCAAATAAGGGAAGACAATGACGCTTCCAGGTGAGCCCAGTGATATGGATCCTAAGGGGAATGGTTCCAAACCTTACATTCACAGTGTTACTTCCTACAAATGTAAACCCCTCACCAGGAACAGCATGCAGCCTGGCCTGTGATGTTCTCGTCTTGGAGCCGCTGAGGTGACGGGGTGAGAGACAGGCGGTTTCTAGGAGGTGGCAGGGAGAGATGGGAGCCCAGCGGAGGTGGGGGACATGGGAGATTTCCTTCTTAAGATTCCCTTCCATCCTGCTCAAAAGCGGGACTCATTTCTATTGCTCATGCCCTTGCTTGGTGGGGCCTCTGTGGGGGCTGGTGGGAAAACCCTGCACCCTAGCAAGTCCCAAACTGCTGTATCAGGAGAGGGTAGGAAGAGGATGGCAGTTCTGGGACAGAGGGTCAGCAGGCAGTTTGGTGTGTGCCCCACAGCTGGCTGTGTATTGTGGTGGGATGTCAGGCCCATACCCAGCCAGATGTAAGGGTAATTAACCATGTACCAAGGCTCCTCCTCCTCCTCCTCCTCCTCCTCTTCCTCCTCTGGCTCTGGAAAAGGGCTTCAAAATGATCTCCACTCACCACATGAAATACCCAAACCACTGCCTGCATTTGAACTCAGGACCAAACTGACCCACATGGCAGTCATCATGCAACCGGCCTGCCTCTGGGGCCAGACAGCAGAGTACCCACCAGCCTCACAGGCAGACAGCAAGCATGGCCCCACTCGTAGGCACACCATGAGCTCTGCCCAGCAGAGGTCAACCCAAATGTCCATGCCTCATCTGCACTGCATTTGGCTACTTTGGGGCTGGAAACAGAAAGTTGGTCCAGCGGCCTGGGCCTGGGGTAAAAGCAACAGCTCTGAGGGGACGTGGGCCGGCCAGTCACTGCCCAGCCCTTCTCCTTACTACCCCTTCTGAGCCCCATCACATGTCCAGTGGGTACAGATCTGCATCCTCCTGAAAGGAGGCCCACTTTACATGTTGAGCTGCAAAGGGGGCCAAGTGGGTGCTGGGGTCCTTCTCTAACAGTTGTCAAGATGCCGAGCTTTGCTCTTGACCAAGAGTGGTACAAATATAATTCCATTACACGCCTGGGCCCTAATACACAAGAGAGGCCACATGGAGAGCAGATTTCACAGCGGCCAGTCAGCCCCCAGCCAGACCCCGCTTGGAACAGGACCAGACAACATCCAGGCTGGCGTCATTGGACACGACAGACTGCCTGTAACCAGGAGAGCTGGCCTTGTTGGCTAGGTGTCAGCACAGCTGTCCTTCACTGGGGAATGGAGCCCACAGAGCCGTCAGTGTGGAAGGGTGAGGGAGCAGCAGGCGGGCTGTGTATGGGACAGGGGGGCAGGCACCTTCCAGTCCTCAGAGTGGCTGTGTGAGTTCCTGACGCAGGCACCTTAACATGAAACATCTCTAAATTCTAAAACATCTCTAAACAGAAGTGAACTCGTGAGAAAGGGTGGAGGGCACCACAGAACATCGCCAGCGTGTTAATAAGGAAGACAGGTGTGTGTGTGTGTGTGTGTGTGTGTGTGGGCGAAGGGGGGAGCAGGGAAGCTGCAGGGCAGAGAGCAGGGGCTGCCAGGGAAGGACCGGCCTGGGGCAGCTTCCGCAGGCTCTGTCACATGCGGCACAGACTTGGTAATGCACATACTTTACACGGGCGTAGAAAGTTACCTTAAAATTAATCTCTTTACTGATATAATTAAACTTTAAATCCTGAGAAGAAATCAGAGAAAGGAAGTATGGCGCTGGGTGTCCCGTTCCCAGCCCCCCCCCCCCACCTGCACACACCGCAGCGGTCCCCTCCAGGACTGGGTGTGGTCCTGACCCCCAGGCCAGAGCCCCGGGGAATGCTCCTGAAAGCCCGTTGGCGCCACCTTCTGCTGGCGGGACAGCAGAGAGGCCCTAGGACACAAGAGCAGCTGTAACCCGATGACCACGAGCAGGCTGGGTGCTAAGAGGAAAAGAACACCTGGTTAGCTGGCATTTTGGAGGAGCTGCAGCACAGAGGGTTAGTGACACAACTGCTCCTGCTCTCTGCGAGGACTCAGGCTCAACCCCACGGTACTGCACATGTTCCCTTGCACGCAGCCTCACTGCCAAAGAGCTCCTCTGCCACGTGGCAGAGCCGGACACCGCCTGCCTGGCCTTGATGCGACTTGAGGGGAGGCCTTTGCGGAGCCACGCCAGTGCAGGCAGGGCCCCCGGCTCTGTGCTGCTGCCCTGTGTGGGCGTTCAGCACGTGGTGACTTTGTGGACATTCCGCAAACAAGTCAGCAATCGATGATACGGGTTTCCTGGTGCCGCGACCACCTCGAACACAGACTGGAAGGCCCGGCGGTCCAGCTCCTCCTCTATCTGGTGTCTGTAAAAGTCCGTGGCCACCAGGCAGAAGAGGTTAACGTCCACTTGTTCCAGCTTGCCCATCCTGCTGATAACGTGGGGAAGGCTGGCAGAGGAGTTAAGGGAGCAAGGCTCAAGTGAGGGAAGAGCAGTCTCCTAGGCATGCCTCCCAGTCCTCACCAGGCTGTCCTTCAACAAAGGTCTACAGATGGGCCCTGGGGGCCCTGAGAGGCGGCTGGAGCAGACGCCAGGTCACCTGGACTGTGCAGCAGCAGCAGCTGCCTCCCACTTTGGCTCCTGCCAGTCACACCAGGAACAGGCAAATGGACGCTGCCACTCTGGCTGGAAGCCCGGCTCTGCCCAGTGGGACAGAGGAAGCAGGCAAGGCAGCCTGGGGAGCCCCAGAGTGAGGGTGCTCCACTCCACAGTACTTACCTGGCCTGGCTCCCTTCACAGCGCTGGCCGCTGAGGCTCCCACTAGCCCTGCTCCCGCAGAGTGAGGGGAGAGCCATGGCCACCCGGCCCAGGCAATGCTGAGCGAGGCCTGACACCAGCACCAGGACAGCCGTCTGCTCAGCGGCTCTGGTCTGTCTTGGGGGAAGGCTGCCAAAGGAGAACATCCCCTTTTGGCAGCCAGCATTTTTGGGGTGGGAACTGGATCTTTACTTAAGCCTTGTACCCGAGAGGATGACACAGGCACAATGGACAAAGAATAATGAGAAACAGCACTGGCCACATATGCAGCTGCATGGAACCCACGAGTGGGTGGGGGGAGGTCTACAGGGATGGGCTGCTGCCCTCAGCATCCCTCCCACCCCGCCTCTCCAGGCGGTCCCGGTCAGTGTGGTAAACACTCCCTTTTCTTTCTTTCTTTTTCTTTCTTTCTTTTTTTTTTAACGCTCCCTTTTCTATCCCCTTACCAACATTGCACTCTGTCAAGGTTTAAGGTAAATGTCATTTTGACAGCTGGGTTTCTTTAAAGGTTAGGCTTCAAAACGTTAACAGACACTATCAACCCAGATGCCGAGAGCAGGGCCTGTAGGACTGCTTGAGAAGGAGCTATCGCCCCTGGCCCAGACCCAGGGAAGGATACACCGCCGAGACCCACGGGCTGGTGGAAGCACTGACAAAGAAGCAGGAGAGGCTCCACACGGCCATGGCCACTGGCGTCCTTTGTGTGAAGTTGGACAGGGACAGCATGACCCAGTCTCGGACCATGGACGACTGCCCGGTGCTGTGCAGAGTCTGGAAAACCTGAGAAACACGAAAGCCCACAGAGTCAGAGGCCACAGCTCTTCCAACACATGGGTGCTGGGTAAAAGGATGCTGCTGGTTTTCAAAGGTGAAGAACTGGGCCCAGTGGCAAGTCTACTCGGTTAGCACACCCGTTCTGGAAAGTCTGGGTCAGTCTACCTCAGGGAGCTTCCCTGCCCTGTGACCCTGTGTCCTCACCTTATATACAACGGTGGCCATGAACTGAGGGTACGGCTGCTGGTTGGACAGAAATTCTCCAATGACTTTGTTCATGACGTCCTGGGGTGGGAAGAAGTCATCTAAAAACTGAGGAAGGATCCGTGCCACCACTCTGGCTTCACAGGGGAACCCTTTCCTGACCCTAAAAGGAGGGGACACAAATTAGAGTCTGGCCCTACCCCAAGAGGGCCTCGTGTCTAAAGCCAGTTGGGAGGCACCCTGGGTCCTAGAATGTGACCTGCAACAGCAAACAGGCGACTCCTGCCTTGCAGACCTCACCAGGGACCTACAGGGGAATGCAAAGACCCAGGGCCTCCACCTGGTGTGTGTGTGGTTTCGAGTCGTGTCAAGTAATAAGCAGAAAGGGTTTGAGATGGTGACATTAGAAATCAAAAAGACTCATTATGAAGAATGTTGTCCATGTGATGTTCTGTTTCTGTCCATGTCTAAATGCTCTATGAGCCGCTTTTCACCACCACAGCCAGTAAAGACCTTTCTTCTTACTGGACCTGGACCCACACATTCTCCTGCTGACATCCTGCCAACCCCAAAGATTATGGTCTGCACCCTCAATGCTGTGCAAATGGAAGAGCTGTACATTACTGACAAGCACCGGAACTGACCCAGAAACTGGGCCCATGCTTCCTCCTATGTGTGTGTGCTCAGATCCCCCTGCGCAGATGTCAGCCATGGCCCCACACATCACATGTGAGGCTGCTGCATACACCCACCACTGGGTGTTAGCCCAGTGTCCCCCACCCAATGTCTGGAGCATGATCAAGCTGCATACCTGATGGGCACTTGCTAACATGTTGGTTTTATTTTGTTAATACTGGGGCACAAGGGCCATGAAGGCAGGGACCCAAGCATGGGCTCCCCTGCCTGCCACTCAGCTGTGGCTGGGTTTGACAGATCTATATACAATGGAAGAATGGCTATAAACACTCATTTTAAATTTCAATACAGAAAGAGACCACAATGCTCAGCGTTCCACAACACCTCATCTGGCCTAAGTGGACACAGGGAAGGGTGCTCTTGTGAAAGCCAGACACTTCCTGCTGATCGAGTGAAGGGACAGGGCAGGCTGAGTGGCACACAACAGGCCTCCCAAGGATGCAGATGCCATCAGCCATCATGTCATCTGGCTGGAACCCAGGGCCCAGTTCTGGGTAAAGAGCCTGGCAAGGAGCCTAACCCATTTTTCAGAACTGGCAAGCTAAGCCAATTCTGGACAGAAGTACACACAGCGAGGGAAGGTGGGGGTTAATTACAAACTCTCAGAGGTGCTTTTGTTTATTGTCTAAACCTTTACCATAGTCTAGTGAACAGTCCTCCTGAAGCTGCTGCTAATGCTGCTCAAAGGCTGTGCCCCTATAGTCCTGGGAGTATGCAGCCAAGCCTGCTTTGACTGCAAGGCTCCTCTCTCCTCAAAGACAGCAGTGTCTGATGGATGTCTTTGTTACTGCTCAAAACTCCATGTGCAGGACTCGTCTTGGTAACATGCCCTTTCTGATGCCTCCATACGGATAGGGTGCTGCCCCTCAACCTTTAGGAGAGATAGGCAAGCACCTGGACTGGTCTCAGAGCTGGTCTACCCCAAACCCTCTGGTGCTAGGGTCCAAGGACTGCCCGCTCCTGCAGAGCCCTGAGCGAGAGGTGTGCACTGGTAAGATGCAAGTGGGCCAGGCTGAGAGGAGAACAGGTGTGCGTGAAGGCAGCTGCTCCTGGTGAGCGTTCCAGGGCAGGCCAGGGAAAAGGTGGGCTTTCTTTCTTACCTGTCAAAAAGTACAGACACACGCTCCATAGCCACAATCACTGACTCGCTGTCTGGGGCGGTGGGGCTGGGGTCTGAGGTTCTGCCCGGGCTGATTTTCTCCTTCCCTGAAACAAATCATTCTGTACTCTTACTTGCTTTGAAAACTGTGCCTTGAACTCACAGAGGGGTTCAACAAACCCAGAGAGATGATGTGAAAACAGGTGACAGAAGTGCTTGGCAGCCCAGGGCCCAACCTTGCTCAAGTACACAGGGTGCAGCGGTCAGGCCTGGCTCAATGTGACCTTGAGCCAGTAACCCCATACCCCAGACTCTAGAATCCCCCTCAAGTGCTGGTGAGGCCCGGTGGTCTGCATCCCAAGAATGCACATGCTTCTCTTTCACTGGGACAGGAGACCCATTCTGTCTGGAGCTCAGTGGCACTGACTGGCCAGGCACAGGTAGGCCTGGGCTAGTCTCTGGAGCCCCAAAGCTCACCTGTGTACATGCAGGTAAGCATCAGGCCCAGGGCAGCCATGGCCCGATGTGGGCTGTGCACGTTCACTCTGTCCACACTAAGCTTGACCAGGGACTCTGCATCTAGCCGGCAGAGTTGTTCAGAGAGCAGGAGGCGCTCCAGACCCCGCAGGACACAGTGGTAGATGATAGATGGGGTGGACTCCTCACTTCCAGACAGCATCACCCCACACATCTGAACAAGAAGGAAGAGATCAGGCCTCTGTCACTTGTGCCTATCCTCCACATCAAAGTGACCTGACGGTACCCCCACAGGTGACAGTGCACACAAACTCACTCCCATCCTGGGGGAAGGTGCTCAAGGCTGCTCACCTGTATTATTGATGCAGAGAATTCCAGGCCTACATCCAGGGGGTAGTTCTCGATCAGGTAAAAGGCAGTGGCGCACATCACCAGCACGTGCTGCTGGCTATGAATGTTCACACAGCTGAAACCATGAGGTAGGGACTGAGCTGACAGTGTGTGGTGACCTTGTGTTTCAGGGACCTCAGCCCCCAACCCCATGACCTGATATGTGTGCCCGCTCTACCCCAGTCCACCCTGAGACTCCCATGCAGCCGTTCATACTCACTGGGCCGCCGCTTTGAGGTTGGACAAGAGGTAGTCACTGATGACTGGGACGAGCTGCTTCGCCGTCTCATCCAGGAGGTCACACTCCAGCACGTAGAGAGCGCCGTGCAGGGCTCCGACCTTGCTGGGAAGGTGGCTGCTCCTCAGCGTGGTCTCCAGCAGCCGGCTGACAGGCTCTGCCACGGCCTTGTCCTAGAGCATAGGCACAGGCATGGAGGCTAGACCACAATGGATCAGGAGAGGCCAACGGGGGCTGGCCTCACACTGCAGAGGAACACAGTGAGTAGCAGGAGCTCCACAGAGGGACCAGGCTGTCACCCGAGAGGCCCGAGCTAAGCTGGCCCTGGGCAGGCGTCCAGGGAGCATTCTTGCTCCTCAGCTGTGCTTCCCCAACCTGTGCTGACACCCTGTCCTCCTGGGGATCTGCGGTTTGGGCTGAGCCAGGGAGAGGGGCCCAGAGGACCAGCCCCAGCGAGCCCTGCTCTGTGTCCCTAACGAGCCTCCCGGCTGACAAGACCCCACACATATTGTCACAATGCCCTGCTGGGAATGGAGCGTGTCCCACCTCAGTCCCAGGAGGGGATGCTGGAAACTGGCGCCTGATTCCTCTGGACTTTGTCCCCCTGACTCCTCAACCCCATACCTCTCCCGTTGGCCGATTGTGCTTTGTGTCTGTTCCCTGGGATCAATCCCAGCTGTGAGTGTACGTGAATTCTCCCAACAAAAACCCAGGGTAGGTAGTCTTGGGTACCCCTAACAGTAGTCTATACTATCACAGACCAAAATGTTACTGGTGTCCGTTTGGCACCAAACATAGTGGAGTGCAGCAAAACCCAAACACTCTGCACCACACCCCTCCCTCAAGATTCGCTTTCTGGAGAAGAGTTGGCCACAGAAAGCGGTGTAGAGGTGGGGGCGACCCTAGCGCTTCACAAGCCACTTCATCTGGGAAAGGTGGCTTCCGCCACCCGAGGGTCCCCACAGGCTTGGCTGATGGCTATTGCACACATACTGGGATGGTGTGACACCTTCCCAAGGACTGCCCTGCCCAGGAGTCACTCCCTGACCACGCGAACACCACCAGGACCTGCTGTGAGGGACACACACTTTCCAACACTGTATAAGCATCTGAGAAGGAAAAGCACACTGCTTGTGCCAACACACACACGCCTCCACCTTCCAGAAGGACGTCTGTGTGCATGTCAGGATGAGAAATCCGTGTCCATGCAGCATCCTGCCTTAGGGTCTTCTTAAAAACGATCATTACTTATTTGATTTACTGACAACACAACATCTGTCTAGGGGGATCTGGGCCTGAGCACAAAAACACAATTATAATAAAAACAAACCCAGCAGCTGAAACCCCCCACAAAGACAAAAGGGCCCCTTCAAGTCCAGCTGCTTTCACGTCTCTTGATGCCCAGAAGGCACACACTTTGAAGTGACGTGCTCACAGGGGAAACTCACTGTTCCTGCCCCGCAATGGCGGCACCGCAGCTGAAGGCCACCCGGGACGGGTGGTACCTGTCCAGGCACTTTAGGTCAGAGGGACAAACCATACAGGGGAGAACCACTGGGAAGGGGTGAGAGGGCTCCAGGCCATAAATGTAAGCTTACACCTCTGCCACGTTCTGTGTGACCTAGTCGCAGCCTCACGGGGCCCAGACAAAATGAGAGCAGCCTCACATGTGTTGGGCCAGGTGCAGGAAAGCTGCCGCGGTGACGGGACAGATAGCAGGCAGCCCCCAT